AATAAAGTCATTATGAAAATAGAAGAAATTGAAAAAGTATTCAAAGAAATTCCAAATGAACTAGAAATGTATGAAACAGACCAAGGAATAGAAGTAGTCCCAATTGAAGAAGAAGAATTTATAGCAAAAATTCATTTTGATGGAGTTAATTGAAATTTTTGTGTTTTGTTTTTCTAGAATAGAAGTTATTTTCTTTTTTTTTCATTAATTAATTTGATATTTTTTTTAAACAATAAGCTGAGTTTGTATGTATTAAAGTATTCACATTAACTTTATTTTAATTCTACTAAATAAATATATTTAAATAAACTACTTTACAAGTTCTACTCTTGATTAACAAGAATCTAAACACAATAAAAATTTCATATTTCATCATATAAATATTGTTTATCTAACATTGCTTCTCATTAAAAAAGAAAAATGAAAGAATTAATATAAACACAAACTAAATTCAGATACATCAATCACTGATTATAATACAATTATATATCAAGTAAAAAGAGACATGAATAAGAAAATATCTTTTTATTCACTTTTATAAATAAATTTACTTATAAAAATTGGTTAAAAAATGAAAGATTTTAAAAATAATGATAATAAAAAATAATTGTTTCCATTGTTTGGTGACTCAGAGAAAAAAAGATGATTAATATATATCAACAATTTGATTTTGTGAATATTGAGAAGTGATTATTTCAGTTTCTTCAATATGCTCTATTGGTGTAATAGAGTTCATTTCTAGCATGCTCGCATTAGATTGTTTTTCTTCTAATGTGATGCCAGAATTGAATGTGTAAAACATTAAATCCTTCATATTTTTGATAATTATTGTTCATAGGATTTTTGGCAAAGTCTAATTTTAATTTCAGTACTTTTAATCTTCTTAATGATTCTTTGTGAATTAATCTATTCATTGATAATATAACAGGTATTATTTCTACATATATTAATTCTCTATTATTTCTTAATTTCTCTTGTAATTCTTTCTATTTATTTATTTTATGAATATAATTTAATTCTAAATTATTATCCTGACATATAGCAACATCTATGATATATCATTTCTTTTCTTTCATATTTTGATAATATATATGTTATGTCTTCTATCATGGAAAGAATTGTCATTAACCAATAAATCTTTATTGTAAGTTATAATCATTTTATCATTATTAATACATTTTGGATGATTATTAAAGTCAATTGCATCAAATTCATTAAAATGGGTAATTAATAAGTGTTTAAATATTTGTTTACATACATAATCATGTTTTAATATTTGATTCTTTTTCATTACATCATAACAAGATATGAATAATAGATGCAATTGTGTTATGACAATGTTTACAATATTTTAAAACATCATTTTGGAGTATTTTTGCTTTAATACTTCCTGTCATAGTTACTCCTTCTTGCATTTTTACTATTTGGAGGAATGCATTTCTTTTTATATTTAATGACCTCCATGTGGCTACTGTTAATTTCTTATCATTGAAAGTGCCATTTGCACATCTTGTATATTCGCCACATTTCTTTCGGGAACGAAAATTAGCAAAGAAATAATGTGTCTAAATAATTTACAAAAATGAAAAAAAGAAGCAAAATAATTTGCATCCATGGAATATTTCACTTATTATATTTTGCTTATAAAATAAATAAAAAAGAATAAAAAGTATGATAAATACAGAATATATAAATATTTATGTTTATATTTTATAATCAGTTGTAGTCATTTTGTATGAAATATTAATGAAATAGATTATTTGATGAATCATAGTTGTTTGTATTTTTTATTCTTTTTATTCTTTTATTAATATTTTATTTATTTCTCTGTTTATATTATTTATATCATCTTCTTATTATCTATATATTATTATATTATTCTTATTTTAGTATTTTTATGTTTATATTATTTAGATTTTCTTATTGTTATTCTTTTATATTTAGTTGTATTTGTTTATTCATCTTTATCATTTTTATATTCTTATCATTTATATCTATTTTCAATTTATATTTATTCTGTTTTGATTTATATTAATATTGATTTTATCTTTTATACTTTGAATTTATTATTATATCATTGATTATCATTTCTATATTTATTTATCATTTATTCTTATTATTCTTTTGTTTTTTCTTTATTCTATATCATATATTCATATCATTTTCATTTATATTTTATCACTTATTATATGTTATAATAACATAACACATATGATTGATTATATAATAAACATCATGATGAAGTTATACATATAAATAATAAACATAAAAAGGAATAAAATATTTTTCATTAATAAAATATTGTTAATCATTTTACATCATTAAATTAGACACTTTTATTGAATATTTCTAATTTTTACAATAAAAAATACAATTTTTATTTATTCTTTTCATATTTATTATTTATTCTATTTTATTACTCTTTATCTTCTTTCTTTTTATATTCTCTCCTTTCTACTTTTATTCTTTCTTCATCTTCATCTACTTTTTACTTTCTTTTTATTCTTTTATATCATTCATTCTTTTCTTTTTCAATTATTTGTTTTTTCGTTGCCAAATGTTATCTAATGATTAATAATAATCGTTTATATTCATTGTTTATAGATTTATTAAATTTGTATTAAGATAATAATTAAAATAGTTTATTGTTATCAATTCTCAGAAAAAACCCATCAACCATATTAAATTCTATTATAAATTGAATGTGTTTGTTTGTTAATTAAATTGAATATGTTAATTATTTTGAAATTGTTTGGAAAATATCAAATAAGACTCTTATTGAAAAAAAAACATTTATTAAAATAAAAAACAAAAAATTGTTTTATTTTAAAGAATAAAATAAAAACGTATTATAATTTAGTTACTTTATGAATCACAACAACAAATTAAGTATATTCACAAAAAATATTTTCTTTTTTATCTATAAAAGAGTGTGTAAATTTGTTTCAGTTCAATAAGAAGTATTAACAAATTATAAATAAATAAAATGTACGGTAAATAACCTCTCATCAATGTCTTTTCAAGTATAACGTCACCAATAGGTATGAATAAAAGAATAAAATTCTTTTCATATATTAGGAGGAAATAACCAAGTTAATAATTATCCCTATTTTCTTCATAACATTAAATGAAATGTTTTATATTAATAGTAAATTTCATTATTAATTGGTTCAATTAAGGTAATAAAAACAATAACAAGAAGGTTAAGGTAAAAACAAATAATAACGTTAAAGACTCGGAGAAACAATGCATGAATTGTTACTAACATAAAAAAAAGCATTTTGAAAATCATTCCATAAATTTAATTGGTTTCTATCATTCATAAATATACAATAATTTCTTCAATAAATATTCAATACTATTTAGTTCATTTTATGCATGAAAGTCATTACTTTGAGATTTTTTTAATTTTCATAGGATATTCTGACTAAACTAATTGCATTTGTTGAGGGGGGTTCACTTAACTCTATTTATCAATTTCAAAAGAACATTTCTATAGTATTTTAACGACATTTGTTTATTATAACCAAACTACAAAACCAAAAAAAAACGAAAAAAGGGAGAGATTGTAAAGAACGAAGGAAGAAAGAGACAAGAAAAGATAGAAAGAAAAGGTGGTTGAAGAGAAGAAATGAAGAAGAAAGAAAAAAAAAAAAGAAACGAGAAGAGTATTTAAAGGAAAGAGAAAGACTTAGAAAGAGATGAAGATAGTTGTGATAACCGAAAAGCCATTTGCAGAAAATGCAGTTAAAGGGATTAGAGAGATTCTTGAGAAAGCAGGTCATGAAGTGGTAATGATAGAGAAGTATAAGAAGAAAGAGGATGTTATTGAAAGGATTAAAGATGCAGATGGTGTAATTGTTCGATCGGATAAAATAGATGAAGAGATAATTAAAGCTGGAGAAAAAGTAAAGATTATTGTTAGAGCGGGAGCAGGGTATGATAATATAGATATAGAAGCATGTAATCAAGGGAAAATAGTTGTAATGAATACACCAGGACAAAATAGGAATGGTGTTGCAGAACTTTGTATTGGGATGATGATTTTTGGATTTAGAAAAGGATTTAAAGAAGGAAAAGGAAGAGAATTAAAGGATAAGACACTTGGAATTTGTGGATGTGGATATGTTGGGAAACGAGTTAAAGAAATAGCAGAAGGAATTGGTATGAAAATTAAAGTATATGATCCATTTATCACTACTGAAAATCAAGTAAAGAAAATAGAAGAATTGTTTGAAGAATGTCAAGTTATTTCACTTCATCTTCCATTAACAAAAGAAACTAAAGGAAAAATAGGATATGAATTAATTAAAAAACTTCCATATGGAGGAATGATATGTAATACAGCAAGAAAAGAAATTATTGATGAAGA